CTTAAGAAATGAATTTCTAAAGTAATATTTGTAAAAAGAGAGATTTCCAATTCTATCTGAAAAAGACCAAGGGCCCAATTTTCCCTGGAATTACTGGCTAAGAAGCAGACGACATCTAGGTGGGAAGGGAGCCAAGAGATGACAGACACTTAGACGGTGCTAGAGAATGCACCCTCAGAAAGGATTCGGGGAAAAAAGGAACAGAGACAGAATAATTCTCATAGGAAAAACGATGTATAAACACTGTTGGGGGCAGGTATTAGACCTCAGGGAGAATGAGCAGTGGGTTAGGGACTAATAAGTCTGGGGAGAAATTCCCCATGTGTAATTTTGTTTGAGCTTTTCCAGTCCTAAGGTACAATATTAATGTACCTTATTAATAACACCTGTACCTATACAATGATAAGGTCTATAAAGTGCCTTCATACTTCATTATAATATAAAAAACCTGGGAAACTTGATCTTTTAAAGGAAAGGGTTCAGGGTTCAATATGACAAGAGAAAAAAAAATGAACTCAAAGGGTATTCAAACATTCTTCAGTGAAACTCCACAGTTTTGTCATCAAAGCATGGAAACAAGAGCTGAAGCTGTGAGAAGAAATGACTCCCTCACCCCATTCCTGACTCAGCCTCTTTTAATCTCTTTGAACTAAGAGTCTTTTAGCTACCTCATACTCTCTCCTGCCTCCACCTAGGTAGCTACAGCAGATATTTAGAGTGATAATGATTCCTGAGTTGAAAGTGCTTTCTGGGAGGAAACAGGTGGAGTCCAAGAGACTGCTTAGGGAGACTGTAAAGTCAGGTTGGCTTGGGACCTGCTGCTTAGACCTGAGGTCCCCTTTCACACATCTCTGTCCTGATTGGGATATTAAATTATATGGTCACCCAGCCAATGGCAACTTGTCAGGGTTTGTTTTCCTTCTCCTCTTCCCCCCATAAAAGTGCTCTATTTCCCTGGGGTAATCAAAAAAGTGTTTGTTCTGGGCTCAGCTGGGTGCTATGCACCGTGCTAAGCTCTTTCAGGCACTACAAAAGAGGTTGAGGAATTTGTATTCTCACCATATTTCCTAACTGGCATTGCTAGAGTACAGCCTCCAAAGAAAGGGAGGCTCCATGTTCCCCACCCCACCTAAGGAAGGGTAGAGCTGAGTGGGTTGGAGAAACTGAAAAATACTGAGAAAAGAGGGCCTCCCTGGTGGCACAAGGGACTAACGCACAGCACTATGAGCTGTGCACTGCGGCACAAGTTCAATCCCCGGCCACAGGAGTGACGTACATGGCGCAGCAGATCTCACTTGTCTCACCCGCTGCTCCCTCAGCAGTGTATTTCACTCAGTCTGTCTGCTCTGCCCCTCACCCTGTCTCTAGTGAATCCTCTCACCCCCCGCATCTCTGGTCTGTTCCCCAGTTCTTGTATGCATAAATAAATAAGTCATTAAAAAGAAAAAAGATTGAGAGGAGACTTGGAGAAAGACCTGTTGGAGACTCATGGAGAGACGTGAAAAATCCCATTTGCCTCTCAGCTTTTGGATTTGCATCAGGGACTTGGGGGACATGGAAGGAGACACCAGAAGTCAAGACATGTGAGACACCAGGAGGAGGTGTGGGTGACAGACCCTTGGGAGGCTGAAATGGCAGTATTTAACTTGATCTGTGCTGTGATTTTGCTCCTTTTGTCCCAGACTTGCTGATCCCTACTGCCTCTTTCTTATGGTTCCCTGCCAGAAGGTACCTTAGACTAATGGCAAGTTTTCATGCCTCACTTTGGGTCAATCCTGTTTGGCTGAGCACTTACCCACAAGTGGGTGGGTAACCTCAGGTGCTACTCAACTTTCCTTTCTTTCTATGTGCACTAATCCTATCAAAGCCATTATTTATTTATTTATTTATTTATTTATTTATTTATTTATTTATTTATTTATTTATTTATTTATTTATGCATACAAGAGCTGAGTTGCAGGTCAGAGATGCGGAAGGGTGAGAGGATTCACCAGAGGCAGAGTGGGAAGCAGAACAGGCAGATCCTCTGGAATACAGTCCTGAGGGGAGTAGTCCTGAGGGGAGTAGCAGGTGGGTCAAGAGAGATCTGCTGTGCCATGTGGGTCACCTCCCTGGCCAGGGATTGAAATCCACACTGCAGTGGCTGTGGCAAGCTTCACAATGCTGCCTCTTAACCCCTTGTGCCATGAGGAAGGGCCATCAAAGTTACTTCACACTATGAGAATGCTTTGTTTTTATGTGGCAGATGACAGAACTCATTTAGAGTGTGCAATCTGGGGATCTTGGGGTACCCTCAGTCTGCACTCGAACAGAATTAAGTTTTGAAGAAATCAAAGCTATACATGCTCAGGCATGTGCTCAATTTCTCATTTTCAAAGCTAATGCTTCAAAGGAGCTAAATATGCATCCCAGGAATGTTAAAGAAGTTAACTGCTTTAACCTTAATCACCTATGTGTGCTATGGTTCCAGAAGGGGCCTTATGCAGTGACCTATAAAGAATTGATTTTAAAAATCACCTGGGGAACTTGTTAAAAATAGAGATTTGTGAGCCCATAGCCTAAGATTCTGATTCAGCACATCTGAGAATCTATTTTGAAAAGAAAGACCCAGCTTCCCAGGTGATTTGGACACAAAAGCCAGATTTGGACCCTCTGGTGAATCATCTTCCTTTGACCCCTGACTGGAGCCATCCATTGTTGCTATGGAAACCACAGTTTCACCACTACCCCCTCCCAGTCAGATTGAATTTTCCTTTTTTTTAAGCAACATCTGGTTCAAGAATAAAGGGCATTATTTTTGGATGAGAAGATGTGTTTTCTCTATCAAGGTATTTATACTTAGAAAAGTAAAGAAAAATCCCCATTCTCCCAAAAGGCAGTATATTTTCTCATCTGAAACCAAATTCAGCAGGAAGCTGGCATTTCTCACTATTTTAGTGCAACTAGAAAGAACTAATGAGCAGTTATTTCCCGAGACAAGTTTCAGACTTTTTGGAGCATCCATCAGGTGTAGCTGTTTTACGGTGCTTGGCATGCCTCAAGGGCTTCCCGGGGTGGTCTGAGGGGCTGACAGTGACTCGCAAAGATGCTGTTAAAACTCTGGAGGCTCCAGTTTGAGGCAGACCTGGAAGAGGACGGCCCTGCAGAATTGATGATAATATAAAATTCATAGACAGGCCTCTGAGTGGCCACATGGCAGTACTGAGCCACTCTGATAAATCCACATTTGTGCTCTGTGATTGGGCTGTGGAAAGATCTGGAATGCATCCTCCTCCTGGCTTCAGAAGCAGAGGAGAAAAGGTGAAGAAGGTTTTTATAGCCTCATGTTGCACAGTGGACCTGATGAATTCAGAATTTAGCTTTTCTGGTTCTCTTTTCTGTCAGCTTAAAAATGAAAGCATAAGGGGCCTCCCTAGTGGGGCAACAGGTTAGGACGCAGCATTGCAAGCTAACCACAGCCACTTCAGGGCAAGTTTGATCCCCGCCCCCGGAGGTGACCCACATGGTGCAGCAGACCTCTCCTGACCCACCCACTGCTCCCCTCAGCAGTGTACTTCATTGACCTGCCTGTTCTGCTCCCCATTCTGTCTCTGGGGCACAGAACTTGTACCCAGTTCTGTATGCACAAATAAATAAATCTTAAAAAAAAATGAAAGCATAAAATGATTACAACCTCAAACAGAAAATTCTCAGAATTCACTGTTCTTTCTATTGTGCTCTTGGGCTAACAAAGCAGAATTTCCCCTCCAGAGGCACTCATTGGGATCCACTGCTTTGTCAGCAAGTACTGAACTCAGGTGGGCAGGGGCTGTCCAGCTGCCAGCTGCGTGGAGCAGGGGCACACGTCACTGTGTCTGTTACAGACGCGTCTGGTCCTCTGAGTAAGAGTCAACCATTTTCTGGGTCTGCTCACTCTTTCCCAGCCTTTGCTGCTGAACTCCTTCCCTTCAGGTGGCAGGTGATTTTCAGACGCTCTACCCTAGACACTATGTCTTTTCCCCCGAAATGCTCCTCACGTGCCACTCCCTGGTTCAGGGCACAACATTGAGCTCAGTCACCTGACCGAGCTGGCTGTCAGCATCCTCCATTCCGCTATCCACTCAACGTCCATGGAGCAGAAAGATCTGTATTAATTGTCCTCTTCAAACCCTTTTAAAGATCTAGCCCTCTTTTCCCAAAATCCTCACCTCACGATCCAGGTCTTACGGTGTCTCTTTGCAAACACAGCTGCCCTCCCCAACAACCTGTCTTCCCAAGCATTAGCACAGCTGCTTTTCTCCACCTCAGCCAACCGCAGCCAACCCTACTCAACATTTGGATTGAGGGGAAGGGCAAACTGTTGTAGTTGTTCGGAGAGCGTATGACCACCAACTTAATTATTCAGGGCTGAGTGCATAATGAGAACTGGCACAACAAGGAGATTGACCCGAGACACTAGGAAGGAGCTCTAAGGACCTGAGAACAAGGCTGGATGGAAAAGAGAAGGAAGGAGTGCTTCCTTCCCACAGGACCGGTGTTGACGCAAACCTCTGTGTCTCACTGCTGCCCTATACCCACCCTCCTCCTCTGTGTATGAACCCCTTAACTTCCTCCAGGATCTGCTGAGACACATGGGCACGGAGTGGTGTTTCTACCTTCTTCTCTGAGTCTAAGTGATTCTCCCAGTGCACCTCTGGGAAACTGCAGAGAACAGTTTCCTCTTCCCCCACTTCTGCTTCTCTTTGGCTTAGGTTCCAATTATTTTAGAGGTTCTTAACCTGGGACCCATAAGTGAGTTTCAGGGGTTCTAGGAACCTTTTAATATTGGACAAATCATTTGTGTGCCCACATGTACACTTTTCTGAGGGCAAGCTTTACTATTTGTCCCAGCAGATTTCAAATGGACCTCCGAAAGGATGCAGACAATGACTAGCCCCTAGCTTGTTGTATGGGAATGACATAAGGGATGACCAGGGCAGGGACGATCACACAGCCTTGGTGGTGAGAGCCAGGCATGGTACCTTGGAAGCGGCCATCACTGCTGCTGTGGCTGCCACATTCAAGCCCCGCTTCCCGAAGTGTACAAGGGCATCATAACTTCGGTCTTTTGCTTGAACCAGGCAATCATCAATTTCCTGTCAAAGGAAAAACAGAGGTATGTTGAGTTAGAAGGTTCAAGTGAATCTCTATTCTTTCTCCTCCTGTGTTGAGTTTGGCAGCTTGTCCCATCACTGGATTCTCAGGGGGACTGAAAAGCCATAGTCAGCATGCATGTGTGTATGTATGTGTGTGTTTGTGGGCACATGAATGCTCTTATATAGGAGTAATAGAGAGAGATAGAGAGATAAAGGGGGCTGGGAAAGAGAATTGTAAATAAAAACAACTTGCTATCCAGACGGGTTTTTTCCATGCAGTGCCCTGGGATTATTTTTAAAGTCCTCTAACCTTCCAGGGAGGTTCCAGGGGTATCCTGCATGTGGACAACCCTGCCACACAGATCCCCTATAAAACACTGAAGGGTCCTGGGGGGAAAGAATGCCGAGACTCAGGCATCCAACCACAGACCCCACAACTGGCAGACGGGTCAGTGCCTTTGCGTGCAGTTTTGTCTTCTGAAAAATTAGGTCAGTGATGGTACTTAACTTATGCAGGTTATATGAGATCATTTCAGTGAAGCATGTGACCCAGTGGCTGCTTTCTTTCTTTCTTTCTTTCTTTCTTTCTTTTAAAGATTTATTTATTTATTCATACAGAACTGGGGTATAGGCCAGAGATGCGGAGGGTGAGAGGATTCACCAGAGACAGAGCGGGGAGCAGAACAGGCAGATCGACAAAGTACACTGCTGAGGGGAGCAGCGGGCGGGCGAGGAGAGGTCTGCCGCACCATGTGGTCACCTCCGGGGCAGGCGGGGATCGAACTGATGCAGAAGTGGTTTAAGCTTCTTAGTGCAGTGCTTTAACCCTCTGCGCCACCAGGAAGGGCCACTTTTTTTCTTTTTTTAAGGAGAGCATTTATTCAACTTTGTAGCTTTTTTTTATGACGTATTTATTTATGCATACAGAACTGGGGTATAGGCCAGCAGTGTGGGGGCAGTCAGATGATTCACTGAAGACAGAGTGGAAGCAGAACAGGCAGAGTGATGAAGTACACTGCTGAGGGGAGCAATGCGCGGGTCAGGAGAGGTCTGCCGCGCCATGTGGGTCACCTCCGGGGCTGGGGATCGAACTTGTACTGAAGTCGCTGCAGCTCACTTGCAGTGCGGCTTCCTAAACTGTTGCACCACCAAGGAGGCCCCAGTGGCTGCTTTCAATATGTGAGAACCACTGTCATATTCCTAATCTCAAGGGGCTAGGCCCTTGCAGTTCTAAAATCCTATTACTTTGTAGTTATTTCATACTATATCCAATGTCTCCCCATGTGTGTGTTGTTGAAAGGGATGCAGCAAGAGATAGGGGCCTTTTTTATTGATAAAGGAAATTATTTTCCAGATAATAAAATAAAAGCATACATTGGAAGTCACAGATCATCTCGCTGAAAAGTAACGATGAGGAGGGAAATAGGATTAGTCTCCCTCAGGAGCTAAAACCAAGTTAAATATTGGTTTAGTTCAACTTTAGATCAACTCTGGCTTTTCCTTCTGTTTTTCTCATTTTGGCTGCTGTTATTGTTTTAAGAAAACAGCTGTCTAGTATTCACTGTAGCTGGCTGAAAAGTTTAGTCAGCAATAACACTTGCTCTCAGTCTGGTTTGTGGGTCAGCACATTGGATATTTCCTTTGTTTTGAGGTATACAAGGGGTGGCTGCCAACTCCCTACCACTACCTTTTTGAAGCTTCCCCAAGAAGTCCCAGCAGAAGTGACTCCTACCTAACTCTGGAAATGATTCTTGACAGCTCTTGAGCGCTAGTCACCTGGACTTCAGTGGAAATTACAAAGGGAGCTTCAGGGTAAGGCCAGCATTTGGGGAAAGGGAAGGTGGAGGCATAGGGGCTTGACAATCAGGTTAAGATTTCCTCAAATTCCACCCTTCTGAGAGGGCGTGCTGTGTCCTACTTCCTAAAGGGATTCTCAGAAATGTGACCGTGGCCCCGCTCACCAATTGGTTAGTTCTTCCAAAGCCCTACCCTGGAAATCTTAAGTATTCAACCTTAGGAAACAATTGAAATTAATATATAAAATCACCCATAGTGCTCCTATTTTATGAGGAGCTTATAAATGTCATAGAGTCCTATTGCATGTTGCATGCAAATAACCCTACTCTTCAATTCATTCTAAGATAATAAGTTTATTCTAAGATAATTCATTCTAAGATAATAAGGAGCCACACTGCACCACTGGTGGTGTTTGTGAATCATTGCAAAGATCAAGTTTAAACAGATTATGTGCAAACATTTTTAAGATCTCAGAATATAAATAACTGTATCTGGGGTTTTTTTTGTGTGTTGGTACACTTAAAATTTGATTTCAGGGCCCTCCTTGGTGGCGCAGTGGGTTAAAGCACAGCACTAAGAAGCTAAAACCACGTCAGCATGAGTTCAATCCCTGTCCTGGAGGTGACCCACATGGTGCCGGAGACCCCCCCTGACCCGCCCACAGCTCAGCAATGTCTTTGTCATTTGGCCTGTTCTGCTCCCCATTCTGTTTCTGGTGAATCCTCTCATGGCCCCTTCACCTCTGGCCTGTACCCCAGTTCTGTATGCATAAATAAATAAACCTTTTTAAAAAATTTTATTTTAAAGAAAGTTTAGCTAGACTAATAGGCCTAAAGAAAGAAGTTATACAAATTAGCAAGAGAGAGGTGATATTTTAATGGACTTCACATCTATTTTATGAAATCTCAAAAAACAATGAAACAACCCATTGAAAGCAAATCTGGAAAATCAGGTTTAGTGATGTTGAACAAGAATAATTTTGTGGACAGTGATATTATAACTATCAGGATTAAATTCCTTTTCAGGCCCTCCCTGGTGGCACAGCGGGTTAAAGCGCCTCGCTAAGAATCAAAAGCTACTTCCACATGAATTCGATCCCTGCCTGCCCGGAGGTGATCCACATAGCGAGGCAGACCTCTCCTGACCCGCCCGCTGCTCCTCTCAGCAGTGTACTTTGATTATCTGCCTGTTCTGCTCCCCACTCGGTCTCTGATGAATCCTCTCGCCGCCCCTGCACCTCTCGTCTGTACCCCAGTTCTGTATGCACAAATAAATAAATAAATCTTTTTTTAAAAAAATTTCTTTTCAACATTATATAAGTTAGAGTTCTTACTTGAATTCTTAGTTACCATTGATCCCTTCCTGCAAATTATTCCCTATTTTATTTAAAGATATTTGTGAAATATTTTGAAGGAAAATAGACACAAAGGTAAATAGCATGAAAAATTACTATGACCATTGACATGAACACTGATTAATAATTACCTAAACAAAAGGTATTTCATTGGTAACACACTCTTTATCATTAAGCAATATAGCAAACACTGTCCTACAAATTTATTTTAGTCATTATTTGGGTACAAGTTCAAGTCATTTAATCTCTATGTTCCAGTTTTCCAATCAATGCTAAGCTTTAAAAGTATCCTAAAAAAAAAAAATAGGGGCCCTCCCTACTGGCACAACAGGTTGAAGCACAGTACTATGAAGCTATTGCAGCCACTGCAGTACAAGTTCATTCCCTGGGTAGGGAGCTGACCCACATGGCACAGCAGACCTCTCCTGTCTCACCTGCTGCTCCCCCCAGCAGTGTATTTTAGTAGATCTTCCTGTTCTGCTCCCCACTCTGTCTCTGGTGCATCCTCTCACCACTCTTGCACCTCTGGCCTGTACCCCAGTTCTTGTATGTAAGTAAATAAATAAATCTTTTATAAAAAAGTATCCTAAAAAAAAAACCATGTAAAAATTATATTTGTCAGAGGACAACAAAAAGAAGAAAAATCAATTTACTCACAGAATTACAAGTGAATTTTTTTCCTTCAACTATGGAAATATTTTATAATAAAAAATGATAAATTAACACCCTTTTGAGAATTTTGCCGTTTCTAAAGCTATAGAAAAATCGATCAAAAACAGACTTAGAAGGAACAATTTGTTGGGGTTAAATAAGAACCAGTGAGGATCTCCTACAATAAAACGATCTACCATTTCAATTTGCCACTGTTTTTATTTTTCGCTTAATAAGAGTGAAAGGCAGAGTGGCATAAATTACCTTTTCTTTTGAAGACAGCGTGGGATGTACAAACTTCCTGTATAGGAGGCTGGAGCCTTTTGTGTAGGGAGACAGCAGCCAGGCTACAAATGCTATTTTTAGCTCATAATAGAATGGAAACCTGGAAAGAAATGAAAAAAAAAAAAAAAAACATGTTTTGTTAAGTTCTCAGCAACAACACATTGGACCTACAATGGACAGACTGGAACACATAGACACCTCTCCAGCCTGCACATGGCTGCAAGGCCCTCAGATTCCTCCTTTTCCCTCAGCAAAAATCCCAGGCCTCTTTTGCAGACAATTTGTGTTTTGTCTGTTGCCAAAGCAAGCCCAGAACGCCAGCTCTCTTCAGCCATCTCCCCAGGGCCTTGCCTGGCAACAGCTGGCACTTCCTGCCAGGCTCCTCTCATTCAGGTGGAGCTGGGCTCCAGCAGCTGCCTGCAGGCACACAAGGCCACATCCATGCCTGCAACTCTGTCATCCACCCCCCACTCTTGGCCAAGAAGGCACAAAGACTTGGAGGACTTATAGTAGAAAAAGAATCTACAGGCTAAGAATAAAAACCTCCCCTTCTTTGTCCAAAACAGGCAGGGACAGGAGTTTCCTAACTCTTGCTAGCAAATAAGATGCCTCTCATCTTACTCAAGTCAACATCAGCCAAAACATCTTGAGCTTTTTAGTGCCAAAAAAAAAAAAAAATCTGAGATGCAGGTAACCTACAATTCTGGAGCTGGAAGTCCTGCAAATCAATCATTTACTCATCCCATAAACACCTGCCCAGTATCTAGATGTGGTAGCTTGGGCTGAGCATTGAAGAGACAATGCTTAACAAAGACAACCCTTTGGAGCTTCTAATTTAGTATGAAACATGGACAATATTCTGGCATTCTGAAACTGATAGTCCAGTCAGAAAACAGAGTCCTCAAATCATCACAAATAATATAGAGTAGCACCTGAGACATTTGCTATATGGGCCTTTCTTAACGTATGTGGTGCCTTTATTTGTTTTTAAAGATTTATTTATTTATGCATACAGAACTGAGGTATAGGCCAGAGGTGCAGGGGCAGTGAGAGGATTCACCAGAGACAGAGTGGGGAGCAGAACAGGCAGATTGATTGAAATACACTCCTGAGGGGAGCTGCGGCGTGTCAGGAGAGGTCTGCTGTGCCATGTGGGTCAGTTCACACTGAAGTGGCTGCAGCCAGCTTGCAGTGCTGTGTCCTAACCTGCTGCACCACCAGGGAGGGTCCACGTGGTACCTCTAAACATAAAAAGTCAGCCCCTTCAACCAGTTTAAGTCCTGCCAGCACATGGCTTACAAGAAGGACTTCAGTTGAATGTCTGCCACAATTGCCTACTTGACCAGATGTCTTGTGCTGTGAACAACCTGTGCAACCATACTTGGCAGTCCTGACATGTGTTAAACTGTGTCTTTTTATTTTCTGTATTCCAAGGCTTTGACATCTTGGAACCTTGCTGACTTTGGAGAGGTATCTCTCCCAGGGATGGCCAGTTCCTAAAATAGTAAACATCCCACTTGCCAGCAAGTCTTTCATCTGCAAACCAATGACTCCAAAGCCCATACACCCAGGCTGCTCCCTTTATGGAGCTCTCCTACTCTGGGTCACTATCCACCCGCTCCAAGAACTCGTGCCAGTTACCAGATGGCAGGAACAGCCCCTACACTCCAGGGCCCACTGAAATTATTCCAAAAAGCATCCTAAACCTGCTTGCCCCGTTTTGCCTGCTCCTTCGGTGGAAGCCATGAGGTAGGTTCTTGCCAGCATTTCCTCCCTGGGCCCCTTGGTGGCTCTGGGTGTGTCCCCATGTGGCCCTTGGGGCTATGCTGTGCCTCCTATTTCTAGGGATTGGTGAGGACAACACACTTCTTCCTCCATGACAGTCTTTCCTTTGTCGATGTGTCTTTTCATACCTGATTAAAACAAAATCTTCAGTATGCTTAAAACATGATGCTCTGAAGGAAAAGGATATCTTATTAGTCTGAGGTATTAGAAAAGTAAATCCCTCCCAGACAAGGAAGCAGAAATGAACAGCAATTTCTAGAAAGTCATTTCAAAGTCCTATAATTGTCACACAGAGCCCCCCCAGTCAGCACCTCCACTTGCCCCTCTCCTCACTGAGGACTCCTGGGCTGCTGCCTCTGCCTCTGACAGGCTCTTCCTGTATATTCCCTCAGCAACTAGAGGACACACTCGCATGAAGACTATTTAATGTTTCACAGCCAGACAAGAGAAAAGACTGAAGCAACAGAGGTGTGATTCTCCTTGAACACTCGGGCGATTAATAATGGAAGAAATTTTGTCTTAAAAACAAGTATTAGCCAGCCCCAAGGGGAAAGCCAATGAATCTGGAAGCTCAGGTGCCAAGACAAGATACACAGATGATGCCAAGGGAATCCGTCACACAGCAGCTCTTTTGTTTATTATGAAGAGACATTTTTTTTAACAAAAGTAATGGATGTACATAGTTTAAGAAATTCTACAAGCACCAAAGTACATAACAAATACTGAGTCTCCTGCTCATCCTTGACTCCTCCTCTCTTTTCTGAAAGCAAAAGCACTGTCAGTTTCTTGAGTATCCTTTCTGAAGCTACGTTCTACAACTATGTGGGTATGTATGACCCTCTTAGCCCCACCGGACAGAGTAGCATTATACCCCCCCATTCTCCACCTTGCTTTCCTCCACCACACATACAATCAACAGTACACTTGGGGGTTATCTTATACAGCCTCTAGAAGCACCACAGCAGGATCCTTGCCAGCCATCACAAAGTCTCCAGATGGAGCTACTTGGACCCTGTGTTTCCCAGAGGCCTGGAGGTCTCTGGTTTCTACCAACATAATCACATCAATGACACTGGTTTCCACTTGACCTACCAGACACCCCAGCCTTCACCTAAGAAGCAAACAAGAATGCTTTTCACTCCCTCATGATAAACCATTGAATCATCCTGATCTTCTGAACATAATTGAGCAGAAAAGACCAGATGCACCCACCGTGTTTCCTCCACAGCATATGCAAAGCATTGGGCAGCATGGGGCTGCTGTAGCCTTTCCCACCCAGTCTAAGACCACCACGCTCCAGAGTGGTGAGCGTTTTCTTAAGAGGGCTGGACAAGTAATAAAATCATTAGAAAAACATGCAACTAATGTGTATATGAAATTGATGGAAGAAAACACACATAACTTTTAGCAGTGGTAACTAGGGCAGGGAGGGAACTAGGTAAAGAGAGATTTATTTTTTCTTGGATTATTTTTTTTATTAATTTTATTTATTTATTTTACATCATCATATATTCCTTGTAACATTCCCACCACCAGTTCACCTGTGAACATCACCACAGTCCCTTGTGCTCCTCTCTCTCCTGTTTTGATCCCTTTTTCTCCCTGTCCCTCACAGAATATCTCAGACTTATGATAGCCTGTTAATTTTATTGTTTTATTATTAGTAGTCCTATTGTTATTTTTTCTGATCCCTTATCTGATCCCCTATATTCCTTTGTAAGTGAAGCATCTGATAATTTTCTTTTTCCTTCTGGCTGATTTCACTGAACATGATCCCTTCCAGCTCTACCCATGTTGCTGAGAATGGTTGCTAAATAGTATTCCATTGCTTATATATAACACATCTTCTTGATCCAGTTATCTATTTTGGGGCATTTGGGTTGTTTCCATATCTTACCTGTTGTAAATAGTGTTGCAATAAACATAGGGGTGCAGATATCTTTTTATTTTTTTTTTATTTTTTTTTTTTTAAAGATTTATTTATTTATACATACAGAACTGGGGTACAGGCCAGAGGAGCAGGGGTGGTGAGAGGCTTCACCAGAGACAGAGTGGGGAGCAGAACA